ATTTATTAAGAATTCTATATTGGGTTCAAAATTGATCAATTTTGTAATTTTCGTAAAAAAATACAAAGTGTGCTATAGTTTTATCGCGGGGTGTGCTAATCCATATTATTAATGCTTACCTTCTTTTTTTTGTGCATTGATAATTAAAATTGATATCTAAACCAAACGAATGGTTTTATCGAAACAATAACTAACAGTTTGCAAACATAGTTGAAACTGCGCATGATATTTGCATTTGTAACGTCAATGCTCGTCACACGTGACATTTGGACAAGCGCACATATGCATATGACTTATAAACTGCGCTGAGTTCGTGCCACTGAGCGGTGGTACGTAAATACTTGTTTCACCCCAATTAATATATGTTTATTAATTTATGTTTTATAAAGAAACTGATATTTAGTCAATTATAGAAAAAATTCACAAATTTTACATACTTAATTAGGTATGTGTGATTTGCGTATTGAGAACTGTTTTTTTTTCGACCCACAATCGACCCTTCCGATTCGGATCGACCCCCATTCGCCCCCCTGTCTCAGATCGACCCCCGCTTTTGTTAAATAGACCCCTGGGGGTCTATATAGACCATTTTGGCGACTTCTGCCCTACACTGATGTTTTTTTAAGGTCAAGTACCATTCATTGCCCGGTATAATTCTCACATTTCATACTTTGCCTAAAAGCATCCAGTATTCTCTACAATGCCGACAACATACATATATTAAGATCTAACTAACTTTAAAGTAAAAAAAAATTTAAAAACAAAAGCAAAACAGATAACAAAAACAAAGACATAACGAAAAAATTCAACAAATAACATATTTTATACGAGTTCGAAAATGACAGCAAACGTCGCAAAAAATAAACATAAAAACAAATGCAAACGGTGACCGTAAACCTTTGAAATTTAGTCAATACCCCAAGGAAGCGAACAAAAAATCCCCAATATTCTCAGTGTAATTTCACTCTTTCCCTGTTTTCACTCTTCCGACGAAATTTTTAACATTATGGAATCGTCCTTCCCCTAGTCGCTCGTTTCCCGGCCAATAAAAATGTAGCGTTAAACGTTTAACGCAACCTTGTTGGAAGTCGCATAAGAAGTATCACTTCAAAATATATCATCATTACAATAGAATCTATAAACAAATAATAAATCCAAGTTAAGAAAAGACGTTGACGGGAAGAAATTATATTTTAGCAATTCTGATGCACGTTACAGCGCTGTATTTAATTAACTTCACGTTAATCAACATTCTAACTTATGTGGAGAAATTTTGCTCACCTTTAACACGCCATCTTACTTATAAGCGATCAGCTGAAGTTGACGTCATAATTCACGTGTGTGTACATCTGTGGTCTTCTTCTTCTTTAAAGTGCAAGTACCCAATTCTTGAACTATTATTGAACTAATAATCATTTTATTGCTTTTAACTCTCGGTACATTTTTTTACGCTCCTGCGTATTTTCACATTTCTTATTTTTATGGCTTTTTTTTGTGACAGGTTTAGTTACGCAAGTTACTCTTATGCTGAACGCAAAAAAGTAAATAAATTAATGACATTTAAAACAAATAAACAAAGATGACCATCACTATTTAAAAAAGTATTTTAACTGAAGAGAGGTCACTATGCCATTTGAAAATAATTATGGTATTATTTAATTTTGGAAAGCAGTATAGTAGTAGTAGTAGTTCATTTACGTCGCACTAGAGCTGCACAATGGGCTATTGGC